CTATGATTAAGTTGGCCATTTTCTTAGTTTTTGAACTCTTATTGCTGTGTGTCTATATTTAATTTTCCTGATATCGCACTCCCTTGAGAACTTCTTGAAGATCTGGTCTGGTGCTGGTAAATTCTTTCAGGTTTTGTTTATCTGAATGGTATCTAGTATTTTTCGTATATTATTCTCATTTTGAGGTGCCATATTCTCAGTCTTTGTGGTTGATTTTTCTCTTCTATGTCTGAGATTCTATTTTCTGTGTGATCTAGTCTGCTTTTAATACTTTCAAGGGAGATTTTGACTTCCTGTATTATAGACTTCATCTCTAACAGGTCCATTTGATTCTTTTTTAAAGTGTGTAATTCCTCTTTTAGATCTTGCAAGAATTTCCTCACCTCCTGGGACTCGTCAGCTCCTTTCTCCTTTCTCTTCTGCAGTTCATTGTCTCTCTTCTCTTCCATCTCTGTTAGCTTTGCCATTATGAATGTTCTAAATTCTTTATCAGACATATCCATGATTTCTCTTGAACTGTCTGTGGATGAAGAGGAGCCATTATTTTCCCTTGGGGGAGAGGTATTTTCTTGCTTTCCCATATTTCTTGTGGTCCTGCGGTGATTTCTAGTCATCTGATGGATGGTGTGTTTCTTCCTAAACTTGAGGTTCAATCTGAGCGTTTAGGAGTGTGCAGAAAGAGGTGACCAGGAATCTCTTTGCTGTTCCATTTTTATCCCTTTGTGCAGCAGATTCAGTAGATATGGAGGAATATGTTAACCCTAATAGTATTTGGATGTTTGGCTATAGTTCCCTTAGATCCGTCTAGAAACACAGTAAATGGAGATAGAGGAGCAGAGAGATGAGATAAAAGAAAAAGAAAAGGAAACAGAGAGAAAGAAAAAATCATCAACAACAACAAAGAAACAGAGAAAAAAAGAAGGAAAATTAAAAAAAAACTGAAAAAATTATATTTAAAAAAAAAAGGCACAAAATAGAAAACCATGTGGAAATCACTAGCTCTCAGGAGCCATGAGGAATCTTCTTCTGAAGGCCTGCCTCTTACCTTTCCTGCCCGGGTGGGAGGGGGAGAGATAAGGGTGGGGCTGAACGCAAGAGAATACTTTACCTTAAAAAATTTTAAAAAGGAAAAATTACCAAAATTTAGAATACAGAAGCAGAAAGAGATAGAGACAGAGATGCAGAGACAGAGATAGAAATAAGGCTAGAGGAGCTCCCTATCACTCAAGTTTGTGGGCTGGAGGCTAAATTATCAGTAGGAAATCTTCATTTCTCTTTTTTTCCCTGAAATCACTAGTTCTCAGGAGCCGTGAAGAATCTTCTCTCTATATATTTTTTTCTTCACTATAGGGTGCGTGCGCTTGCCAGACAGACAGAGAAAGACATAGAGACAGAAAGCGAGAAATCACCCCCCAGGGGGGATGGTCACGCCGCAATCCCTTCCCCTCCATTCTCCTCTCGGGATCTTGGACAGGCACGCACACACGCCCGGCATGAGTTTTAAGCCACCGCGTCCGGGACACGAACCACGGCTGACTACATGGGAGTCCAGTGATATAGCCATTATGCTAACTGCCTGTTCCCTCTCTCTCTTTATTTTTTAGAGAGAGATTTTTGCTATAAAGTGTGTGCACTTGCCAGAGAGAGATAGAGAGTCAGAAAATGAAAAATCACACCCCCCCCGGGGGGGATGATCATGCTGCAATCCCTCCTTCTCCATTCTCCTCTTGGGATTTTGGGAATGCATGCACACGTGCCAGGCTTGAGTTTGAAGCCACAGGGTCCAAGACTCAAACCATGGTTGGCCATGTCAGTGTCCAGTAATGTAACCCTTATGCCATCTGCTGGTCCCCCAATCTACTTTCTGTCGTATGCTGCCCAAGATTTCTCCAGCCTTGACTCCCAGTTTCAACTCATACCCACAGTTACTTGTGGTGATGTTATGAAAAGAGCAACAGCACAGACAGACCTGGATTCCAGTCCTGCATCCTCTCATTTAACCTCTGAACCTGATTTCCTATTTTAGTTTTTGCTATAAGGCATGTGTGCTCACCAGAAAAAGAGAGAGGGAAA